ATGAAATATCTTATAAGATATAAATATATCTATAACCCAGAGGAATTAAATAGCTAAAACAATCRTAATAGGCAGAAAAGGGATAAAGAATATACCGTAAAGGTAGCAGCAAGAATTAGGTTACCTCCTTGCCATCATGCATATACTTGGATAAAATTTGTTGATACATAGTGGAAGAAAAGAATGTGCTAAAAATTCACTGAATGTTTAAATATTAAGAGACACAAATGTAACAGTATATAAGAAGGTAAAACTCAGGAAAAGCTGCTTTCAAGCTTAAAATACAGTCTTGAGGAACTATAATATACCACCAAATGCATTGTTGGATGTGAATGAGCAGAGGAAAATATTTTTTTTGTGTTAGTTTAATTAAAAATATGTGATCCTCAAGATCAACATAAATATTTTACATAAAGAACTAGGGGAGAGAGGCAATGTAATTGTAGACACTGACCAATTTAAAGAGGGCAGTGACAGCTTCCAACCTCTCCCCCATTCATCTGTCAGACCTTGGCTTGAATGTCTTCCAATATAGTTCCTAATGAGTTCAAGAGCAAAGAGAGGGATTATCTTAAAAATTAAAGATGGAGGTCCTCAATCTATTAGAAAAAGTCCTTTCTAGATTGATAGATTCATAGGGGCTTTGAGCTAGAAGAGATCAGAGCTAACATTTAGTTCCTGTCTCATCCTAATGCATACATTTCATCATAGGGACAACTGGGTCCTACATAGTAAATGGCCCACGATGGTGAAGCAAATTAATGGCAGAGTGAAAGGTTAAAATGTTGATTTTTGACTCTGTTCACTAGAGGTAGAGGTTTCTTTTTCACTGATGGGCACTACCTATACTCAGAAGGAATAAGAGAAGGGACTGGTATGCTTCCCTGGAGGATGAGTCTTGTTAATGGGGTAGTACAATGACTGGGTGGGCACAGACTGAAAGTCTGGGGYTTAGGGGCTTCTGGATTTGTGTCTGGATACAGGAGTTTGCACTTTTGCCTAAGACGATCCTAAATTAAAAGGAAAATTTGATGCTATGAACATACAACAGACAGTAGATTGCTCTTCTAGTGATAGTTAATTGACAGAAAAACCATGTCCCAGTGAATATCTTATCTCTTCTACTCAACCAGAGTGGTGCCTGACACCAGTTTAATGATATAGTTTATTGCTCACTCAAAAGGGACAGGAATATTGGAAGTTTTCATAAGTCATTTTTGTGTCTATAGATTCCTCCTGCTTTTATTAGGGGCAGCTGTTGCCTTGTTTGGAGATAAATTTATCTCAACTTTGCACCAAGCTAATGCATATGCATGGAAGACACGCTAAGCAGACAAAATAGTAAACATTCTCTATTTAACCTAAAGTTAACCTCACATGGCCTAAAATWGTTTTCAATACTTTAATTTCATTTGGAAATAGAGTTTAAACAAAACATCATTTTCTTTTACAAAATACTATTACTGATTTCATTTTCCCAAAAGATTTCTTAGCTTTTAGATGACTTCCTTTTATTTATTTATTTACTTTTTTGATTCTTTTTAGTTATACAGACAGTAGAATTCATTCTGATATAATTACACAAACATGGAATGAATATATATCTATATCTATATCTATATCTATATCTATATCTATATCTCCCCATTCTTATGGATATAAACAATAGTAGGATTCTCTATGGTGTATTCATATATGTATGTACACAGGAAAATTATTTGGATTTATTGCACTGTCTTTCCTTTTCCTATCTCCTCTCCTCTCCCTTCCCTTCTTTCCCTGTTGTCTAATCTACTGAATATCTATTCTTCCTCTCTACCTCCATATTGTGGTTAGCTTTCACATATCAAGTGAAAATATTCAACCTTTGGCTTTGAGGACAGGCTTATTTCACTTATCATGATAGTCTCCAGATCCATCCATTTACTAGCAAATGTCATAAAGTCTTTCTTCTTTATGTCTGAGTAATACTGTTTTGTACATACATATCACATTTTCTTTATCCATTCATCTGTTGGTGGGCACTAAGTTCATTCCATAGCTTGGCTATTGTGAATGGAGCTGCTATAAACATTGATGGGGCTGTCTCACTGTAATATGCTGATTTTAAATCCTTTGGCTATATACCAAGGAGTGGGATAGATGGGTCAAATGGTGGTTCTATTACTAGTTTTTTGAGGAATCTCTATACTGCTTTCCAGAGTGGTTTTCAAACATGTTTAAAAATAATCTGATGGGATTCAAACTACATTTTCCCCCCCTAATAGCTATATGATGTCAGGTTCATTTGGTTAAGAATTTAGTTTTTCAGAATGTCTTTGTACTACTCTTGTGGATGATGTTATGTTACCTCTTGACATTCAGTATTGTTGGGACTTCATGAATTTCTGGGGAATGATTAATCAAAATAAAAATATCAAATATCATTAAATAAATGTCAAAACAAAGTAATTACATTGTTTCCTGTTTAATTATAATAGAAAAATTTAAATTATTTTGCTTATTTTGTCCTAATGAATATATGATTGTAAGAGTCTGAAAGCTAAAATCCTTAGCAGATAGAAAGACAAAAAAAAGAAAAAAATTCTTACCTCACAAGAAAACCTGGGTGATCACTTTAACTGGATAATCACTTTAACTGGTCGAACAGGAATATACATAATGTGCTATTGTTTCCTTACTAATAGATTTTTCCAAACAAGTTGCTTCCAAAAATATTTTGTAAGCTGTCATTAGCTTTCAGAGATGTYGCTTTAGGTGGGAAACCTTGGTGATCTATCTCACAAAGCATGGCTAGAAAGAAGAGACCCTGAAACTGCTAAATGAGAACTGAAAAGGGTCTTGTGAAGTCGTGACCCTTTAAAGGTGTTGGTTTACAGAGTGTGAAACAGGCAATTTACCAGCTGTACCCAGGAAGCTACTCTGAAAATGCGATGGTGGGGAATCAGAGAAAAAGTCATTCTGAAGATGGCTAGATACCACCCACAATTAGTTTGGTCTAACTTCTTTGATAGGGGAAATTTCTTAATTTAGAATACAATTCAGTATTTCAACAGAAGATTATTAACATGAAACGAAATCCATTACCCTCTCTGCTGTTTTTTTTTTGTTTATTATTATTATTTTTTTGGACCATTTTTAAAACTTGAAGGACAAATTCACTAAGGACTATGCTCAAAATGGGACATGCTAATTCCTTATCAAAAGCTGTACATTCAGAACCCATTGCTGGGATCCAAGCCTTCTTGTGTGGACCTGGAGAGCCAGTGGGCCCACTGCCAGCCTGTTGAAACAGGAAGAGGAGCTCACTCTACCACTCTCATTAAGAATCGATTTTGTTGAAGTTAATTTTAGCTTACTTTTAAGGGCTAGATAAGCAGATAAGCATTATTGGGTGCCAAGAATTTTAGAATGTTTTTCATAATGTGGTCAACAACCCATTTTTAACATACCCCTTGACTTTTCTAGATTTTATGAGGTCCATAATTACATTTTTTAGGGGGGTGGTGTGATATTTCATACATGTATCACAATGTGTAATATCTGGTCAGGGTAACTGCAACATCTGTCAATTTAAACATTCATCATTTCTTTGTTGAGAAAATCCAAAATTCTCTCTCCTAGCTATTTTGAAAAGTGAAACTATTGTCAACCATACTTATCCTGCCATGCTATAGATTTAAATTTTCTCTCTTTGATTTATCTAAATGATAAATATACCCAGTTTAATTCCCATATTCCCAAAGAGGTAATTATGGAAAGACATGTCAATAAACTGTTTTTTTTTCTTTTTCTTTCTTTTTCTGTTTGGTGGAGCTAAGAATTGATTCCAGGGCCTCATGCATGCTAAACAAGTGCTCTACCTCTGAGCTATAAGCTACAGCCCCAGTATTGATAAACATTCTTAAAGCTCTTTGACTTCCTTGGAAAGAATGGCTTTTTTAAAAAAGATTCCTTGAGAAAATATTTAGAGACTCATTAATATCGGGTAAAAAAATCTCAAAATTTTAGAAGTCTTAAAAACAATGATCTTAAAATAGTGCTTAAAGGTCAAACATTAGTATAAGTTTTGTGCATGTTTAAGAATATGGGATGTATACTTTTCTTTGATTACAAAGTGAAGAACAGAAATTATGGCATTTTAGGTCTCACTGTTATGTGAGATATAGCTTCTATAATTAAATGAATTGTCTCCTTTGTTTTGTGGAACTTTTTCTCCTTCCAGGCCATTCTGAATGATGTTCTCATACATCTGTTCTTCTAGAGCTAGTGGAAGTCTAAATCCATGTCACCCTTTACAGGATAGCAGCAGCCTAATCACAAGAATAATTTCTTTTTTGATAAACAGGGCCAATGTCAGTCTCTCTAGAGAGAATGAACACATGAACACACGAACACACACACACACACACACACACACACACACACACACACACACACAGCCTATATTCAGGGCCAATTTTTTTTCTTCTACCCCCAACTAATAAAATCAGGAGGCTGCAAGGAGGCTGAGCGGTGTGCAGTTTGATGTCCTCAGCAGGATACGGGGAGTCAGAAGTGACGCTGTAAATCCAGCGCGGGGCTTCAACACTGTGTGAAGTGTGGCCTGAGCCTCGGAGATTTCCCTTTGATGCAAGTTCAGTATATTAATGGGAAAAGCATTCACTTTTATTTGTCTGTACTGTCTGCGACGGCGAGGCTGCCTCATTTAGGTTGGGTGGACATGAAAATACACAGAGAAGCAATCTGTTGCAAATTAGCACAACTCTCCTTTCATTTGCTAGCTAGTAATTAGGAGGGGTTAAGAAAGTGTAACTTATCAGATTGTATAAGCGTATCTGCTTGTGTGGACAGCAAGCTTTCTCCCAATTGCCCTAGGAACCCTGAGGCAATAATCCTTCCTGGATGTCCACTTGATCCAAAAGAAAACATGGGCGTGTGTGGAATATACACACTTTGTTGGGTTGGAAATTAATGCCTGAGGATTTTTAGTACCTTACCTTTCTTTAGAGATGTTTTTACTCTCCCGTTTCCAAATAGCCTTGAAGTCACTGCAGAACTCATACCACACCATAAACACGTAGCCCGGTGTGATCTCCTTCTCACCGGCCTTTGGCTTCATTCCAAAATATCCTACTGTTGTCTCAAAACTGCAACAGGTAAGGGGAAAAAATGGAGAGAGGTAGACGATGAGAAACTGTCAATACCCAAACCCACCGGGGTGTGGGAAAGCGGGTAGCTTGCCACACACCTATTCTCTAAAGATGAGTTCTGGCTCGTGGCTACTATAGTATACCCTAAGCCTCAGAAAACTAATTTGTCCAAACTGATTTGTCAATAAGTACAACCTGATTGGGGAAACTTCTTATATCTATTAAAAACAGCACATATAATCCAAAGAAGTATGTATGTTAAACTTCTTGAGTTTGTTCTTCATCTCAAATCCATGTCGCTTACCTGCTCTTCATTTTGTGTTTAATGACTACAAGACTGATGATATACTGACTCAATAGCATTAGTAGTAGTCAGGTAGATGTCCATTGGGAACAACTAAACTGCTGAATGTTTCAAGGAAAATCAGTTCTATCTGTTTTCTGGCATACTCTGGCTTTGTTATCTTGCATTGAACCCTCAGTATCTATGACTCAATTTTCTCAAGGGTACAATAGGAGACTCAGACTATATGATCTTTAAGAGAGTTACATTTAGATGCTTGATACCATATAAAGACATAATCTACCAACAAACAAAAATAGATATAATTGTGAAACTAGCAATGTTTGGATGAAAAATCACCTCTGATCTTGAGAAACAATCTCCAATCTGATCAGAAAAGAACTCAGATTTTCCAGAGTAGATTTCTAGATATYACTAAGACCTACCCCATGGAACCTCACTGTGTAGCCGACTTCCCAGGCCTCCCAAGCAGCCCTCCTTGGAGGCACTAGCTTTGCAGCAATTTTTAGCTCTGAACTCAATCTTTCCCTCTTACCCTCACCCACCCCAAGCCACACAAGCTCATTTGCCACAAACAAGAACACTTAAATAGCCCCCTTTTCTGGGGTGTTGGAAACTAATCAAAGCAGGAGTGGCTGGCCAGGTTTATTACTCAATACCCTATCATCTGTTCAGACACAGTGTCTTTTCTTTTTCTTTCTTTCTTTTCTTTCTTTTTTTTGTGACCGTCCTGAATACTGAGTTCCTAATGGAACTCTATTCAATGGCACATATAAAACCCTGAAGTCCCATTACTATTATGGAGCATACTTTCATCTCATTCTCAGTTATTGGGCAATATGTATCTCATAAGATTTTATCACATTTCACAGATGAACTGTTAATTGATTCCATGGCTACGATTAGGTGAGATCCAAGCTGGAGCTACAGCTCTGAGTCCCATAAATTCTTTGTGCTTCTGTAAATAACAAATCTGTTTTTAATGCAAATTAAAACTACTGGTCAGGGAGTTTTGGACCCTGGTTATTAAAAGACTGAAGTGCATATGTGGAGAAAGGCAAGGGCTGTAGTAATCTCTTAAGAGGTTCTCTGATAATTCCAACCAGTAATCAAAGAAAGTAGCAAAGTCCACTCTCTGCCCAGACATGATTTCTAATGCTGTGGCAGTCAAAATACTTATAAAACCAAATGTGCACCCTACAGCATATTCAAAATGGAAATGATAGTGACTACAGTATGGGAACACATAAGGGAAGAGTTCCTAAAGCAGCAGAACATAAGTTTCCTATAAGGTCGTAGGACTTTAGAATTGAAAGGGAGTGACTTTAATATTCTCATTTTACAGATAAGAAAACAGAGGCATGGAAAGATTAAATGACTTCATTTATTGACAGACTTGGGTCTAGAACTCAGGTCCCCTGACTCCCTGGGGGAAATGCTCTTTCTGTTCTTCCCTTCTGGGGTTCATGCTCACTGACAATGGCACTTAGATAAAATAGTCATTTTCCTTGTTTCTACCTTAGACACAGTTGCCCTCTCTATCATACAGAGCCAGAACATTCATCACCCCAGGAGGGCTCCCCATCAGTTCTTCTTTTCTTTTATGTTCACCTTCAATACAGACACAGATGGACTTGTGCATTAACAGAGAAGAGAAAATCTCCTGTTCTCTGAATTTAGATGAAGAGGTTATTTTACAGCAGGACATAGTGATGAGCACAGTGAGTCTCATCACTGAGATTCATGGATCACCCACRGCATTCCTTGGAGTCTAGATTGTGAGACGGAGACATTGCCAACATGGGTGCTGCTTCAGAAAATGGCATGATTGTTGGATGGTGGTCATCATGGAGCCTGAGAGAAGCATGTCAACATCCCAGGACCTCCCTTTTCCCACTTCTAAACTTCTAAAGTCAGCCACTGTCCCCTTGGCCTTTCCCTGTGAGTCCTTGCTTGCTCCTCTGCATGGGGATAAAAACTAAAAAGAAACACCCAATTCCAGATGTTTTTGTAACTGCTTTGGGAATGCAGAAAGCAAGTTACCCCCCTTTGGAAGAATCAGGGCAAACAGAGTCCCAGAGCATGGTTTGGTTCTGGGCTCTGCAACTCTGACAAAGATGAAGTTGCTAGGAGGATGTCCCTCATTTGATTTCAGTGTAACCCCTTTAAGAAAAAACTCAAAGCCAGACTATGAACCCACAATTGTCTGATAAGATCTAGACTATTGTCCTCCCCAGACAAATCGCTCTTCATTCCAAATTCAGTTTTGATTCACAGAAGACTGATTGTTGAAAACCTTCTGAAATCTAGGCAAGAAAACTGCTGATATTTARCCACTAGTATAATTTTCTCCAATAGATAGGAAACAAAGAATCAATGATAAGTTTTGATATTTGTAATTGTCAGCAGATAACTCTAAAAAAGCATTCGGCTTTTAAAAGATTGATTTCTAATCATATGTTTTGTTTTATACAATGTTTTTATTTCTCCCTGAGCTAGTCCCTGACTCCTTTTTCCTCATGCTATAATTCTTTGTCTGATCTGTATCATTTAAATTCAGCCAAACATCTTTAGAGTACAGACAACGATTTTATCAAAGAGCCCATAGCAAAATGAACTGTTCTACTTTTACAGCATTGGGATGCCAAAGCGGAACACATCCACTTACTGGTTTACATGCATGCCTTCRGAATCTGCTTAGGAAAAGCAAATATTCCTTAGCCTCAGAGTAAACTGTTTCTCTTGAGAATAAAACATAAGAATTTACTAAATCTCACACGAATATTGCAACAGTGACCACAAMCTCCTTAAAGAGTATAACCAAACAACTGTGGTTTCTCCATTAAAGATGGCATCTGACATATTTCATGAATGACATGAAAGCTAGACTACCTTGGCCACAAAGCCACGGAAAACGCTGACAACCAAAATTTACGATTCCCCTCAGCATAGCTAATGCACAGCAGCAGCTTCGGCCTCTCTAAGGTGGGCCCCTTTTTCCYTTACTGACAGTCTTGAAAAAGGATTAGAAATTTGACATCTACCCTGCAGCTAAATTTCTATTTGGTCCAATACCAGTGTGCCCTTGTTGCCAGTCTCTTCTCCATGAGCTATTTCTATAACACAGGCACATACTCATTTTATATATCGAGGAAGGAAATTTTAGTGTCGGATAAGAACAGTAGGGGGCACAAAAATCTAAAAACATAACCAGGTAATCATCTTGGTTTTCAATGATTATCATGACAGATTGATACTCATGATTCAAGAATAGGTCTGCACTCAGAAAACTACAAGATGTGCCTTAATCTTGCTTTCATCAGAATTTTAATTTTCTTGGCAATTACAGTAAGAAGCRGGGCAAGATGTTGGCACCTGTCAAAGCAGGGCAGACGGCACTGTCTGGGGGTTTTCAGTACACTCAAAAAATGTGGCGAGAGCAGAGGAAAATGGCTCATTTCTAGTTTGTTCATTTGGATTTAAAGTCTTCTCCTCACCTATTTATGAGGCTCATGGTTTCCTTACATGCTGTTCCCTACCCCTACGTTCTCACCTAATCTTCTAGCACTTTTCAAATCAGTCCTGATAAAACATATTTCAGTCCTCTGCCCTGAATTTGAGAATGGCTGTGTCTGTTTCTAGTCACTTCAAAAAGGGAGGGACAACCAAGCCGACTAACCTGTCAACTAGCAAAAACGGAAAGACCTGCAAGGGTTCATCATGCATGATTATTAGGCTATCTGGGATGGAGGGTCTCACTCTGGTGTCTACTGAAAGACAGAGAGAGAGAGAGAGACAGAGAGAGAGAGAGAGACAGAGAGAGAGAGAGAGAGAGAGAGAGAGAGAGAGAGAGAGAGAGAGAGAGAGAGAGAGAAGCAGGGAAGAGGCCTAGAGTGGGTGTGAGGCTGAACAGAAGACCCGTGAGGTGTCTCCCAATTCTGGGGGGATTTTCCAGATGCTGAAGCTGTCCCTTCTTTCCATCTGTCCCATTGTCTATAAAAATCTTGTAGACTATATTTGAGGAGAGATAGAGTCTCCTAGGTGTTTGTAATAATTGGATTAAACCAGTGGTAAAGGATGAAATTGTTCCTAACTTCCATGAAGTGGCCCAGGAGCAGAGCAGTGGAGGAGACGCACATGGATGGGAGAGTGTCACAGCACATGTATGAGGCAAGTCACTTCTGAATGATTCTCCATTTCTTGGGAAAAATATCCCCAAGTCTTGTAACAGAGCTTTCACCCCAGCTCCCAATTGAATCCTACTATTCCTGGATGCATGATTTTAACAAATGGAGTCCAAAGAATGGCTACTTAAACGTTGTGGAAATGAAATAACCCAGTCCCAAAAAGACAGACACTGCATGATCCATTGCTTACATGAGGTCCCTAGAGTAGAGCGTCACAGAGACAGGAAGTAGAAGGATGGCTGCCAAGGACCAGCGGAGGGAAATAAGGAGTCAGTGCTTACTGGGTACAGAGTTCTAGGTGGGGAAGATGAAGAAGGTTCTGGAGATGGATGGTCACACAGTAATGGGAATATACTCAATAATGGTTATGATGATGATAAAGAATGTCTTCTCAAAGAAAGAATTGCAAGTAAGTCAGAATTTCTTACCTTTTCTGTGCATTTTCCAAATGGCTTTCTTCCATTTTATGTTCCTTTTTGGCTGTGAAAGAGAAAACAATTATGATTAAAATGATATTTTTCATCACACTCTTTGTATAATTGGATACCTTTGAGTGCACCCATTGATTTTTACAGTAAATCTGAGTGCAGGGATTTACAAGCACTTGAGACCCCTCACTTTGCTACATCTGCCACACTGATTTCTTGAAAACAGAGCTAACAGTGACCATATAATCTTGTGTTTCTTCTGGGACACTTTTGAGAGTGAGAGGGAATTATATTAATAATTACACCTGGACAAAGATATAAATTGGAACAGTACAGGGCAGATTGGTAGATGTGCTCACTTGGGCCACAGCCAGATAAGCTTTGGCATGTTCCCATCACGTTTCCCTCACTCCAAAACAAAATAAATCCACTAGTATTTGCAGCAGCTCTTCTGGGACTCAAATAAACTCATAAGTACCCACGTATGCACTGTCTCACACTCACAACTCCTTTGGCAGTCTGCTAAATGCCTTGTGAAAAAACATACAAGACTGCTCAGGAAATCAATGATATGAGATATGTAGTCTGAACCTACAAATTAAGAAGCCATGCTCTGTGGGGACTGTCTAATAAGGAGGTTTCACTTTTTCAAATACCATCTTCTCTGGCCTGATAAAGAAAAGAACATACCTCATCATCTGACATGTCACCCACTTCCCCTTCACAACCTGGTGATTACCCTTTTCCTCCTGTAGCCTCTGTATTTCTGACAGACTATTTCTTTACTCATTTGTCTACATACAACAATTGAATGTAAGCTTCAATAAAGCAGAAACTTCATTCACCTTGCTTTCTGTTACAGATGTAAATGTGGGAAAGGACCCATGTAAATTATTTAACAAAAATGCATTTATTGGATACCACTTACTTAAAAGGAGAGACATTAGCTTTCCTAAGCATAACACTTTGTTTAGAATATGAACATGAGCTATAGATTCTGAGGCTAAAGTTTTATACTAGTATCTCCAAGCATAATACATTTCAACTACTAAAATTATTTTGCTTAATATTAAACTAATTTGGTTTTGGTCAGTAAATCATTTTGGGCAGGGCTTAGTCACAGTTCCACTCATCTGCTGCTGTATGTTCCTCTCCATGGTCATATACCTAGCAGAAATCTCTGTGAAATAGTCTGGTACTCAGCCCAATCAGATATTGAGAAATGACTTTCAGTAGTGAGCAGGTTCCCCCAAAGGTGAATCAAACTAGCTATTTGTTCTCATCCAGTGAAAAGAGGGAGGACAATACCTCTCTCAGGCCTGAGTGCCTTCCTGAAGGACCTTAGCTTTTCTCCATCACTAGATGGTTTCTAACTGGGTACTTCCACGCTGTGCTAAGTAGATTGTGTCCAAGTTTCACTGCATATGAACTTAATGACAAAAAATACCCCATTCAAAGTGACTTAAACAGTAAGACTTTTTAATAATTCCATGGGAAATAACAGTGTCCAAATGCAAAAGAAGGTACTATGTTTTTTAAAATATGTATTTGCAGTATTGGGGATTGAACCTAGGGCCTCAGGCATGCCAGACACTCTACCACTGAGCTGCATCCCAAGACCTTTAAAATTTTTATTTTGAGACAATCTTGCTAAGTTGTCCAGACTGGGCTCAAACATGTAATCTTCCAGCCTCAGCCTCCCAAGTTGCTGGGATTACAGGCATCATGTCTAGTTAAAGAAAAGTGTTTTTATTTTTATTTTTTTAGTTGTCAATGGACCTTATTTATATGTGGTGTTGAGAATTGAACCTACTGCCTCACACATGCTAGGCAAGCACTTTACCACTGAGCTACAAACCTAGCTCAAGAAAAGTGTTATTAAGAAGCAAAGAACATTATAGTAACTTTGAGTTTGGGGGAAAAGAGTCTTGACAATGAGAAGAATTAAGAGGTTTGAATTCTTCCCACACCCAGGGACTATGCACAGATAGAAAAGGCCTCCTCCCCATGTGTGACTTAGAAGCTTTTCCAGCCTAAAATACTTCTCTTACCACAACATGTGAAAATTCCAACTATATCATCATACATTTTAAAGTCTCTAAGTCAAATTCAAATATATTAGATGGAAAGAAAATATTTAAAAGACTAGGGTCACAAGCTCAATTTCTAATATCATCAATAAATAAGGTCATTAAGGGCCAAGTGTAAGCATCTCAATGTCCTAAAATTCTATTCCTTGTTTCTCCATGCTGGAACTGGGGAATCTTATTGTGGGTAAGTGAACAGGGAAGTGGGAAAGCCATGTTCCATTTAGGAGAGATCAGAAACTTGTCAGCAAAACTTCTACTTTTTTGAGAGAATCTGAAAGGGGATTTTTAAATGAATATATCTCAACTTTTAAAATATGTTTTCCCACACTTTGTAGAACAAAGCAACCCTTCCTGCCAGCCATATTTATCTCTGCAACCTCAGACTTCAGCTCTTATTGACTATGGATACATCATGACATAGGTGGGTTTGTTCATGCATCCACACACAGACACTATTCTAGGTGCTTGGGTCCCAACAGTGAAAAAAGCAGACAAAGGTCCCTGTAGAACTTTCATTCCAGTTAGGGAAGACAGACAATCAACCCTGAGAGAAAAAGATCCAGTGTAAGTAATTTCTGACCAGGGTTAGCAGGAATATTCCAGAGCATAGATGGATGCCTACAAAAGGAACCTCTGTGGGTTATGAATGAGACATGTCTAGACAGCTAGTGTACAACACATCAATACTAGGCCGAAAACAGGAGAAGACAATATTTAAATTGAAGAGAGTAAGTCTTAGATGAAAATTGTCCTTATCCTACAACTTTGTCAAATAGTGGCTCTGAATCTATGTATGAGATTTATTTAATCTTCTATCCAACCAAGCCCTGTGGACAGTAGTCTTTAGATGCTATTTTTTTTTCTATTTAAACTTCGGTACCACCTGTGGGGGGTAGGGTGGGTAGGTGTCTTCTTAGAAGAGTAAGTTTGGAGAGATAGTAGCATTAGGAGAGAGAGAAATAAGCATCCCTTGGCTCTTCTTTCTCTCTCCTTCTCAAGAAGCTATCTCCCTGCCTTCAGCAAGTTAAATTTAACTCTTTTCCAAATCTGGGGAGTAAAGGAGCTGCTTAGAATGACAATACCTTCAAAACAATAAAAGTAATAAGAAATAAGTCAGAATACTAACAATGAGAAGTTTCACTTAATATCGATCTTTCAAACTTCTTCATCAAGGCTATATGTTCATAGTGATCATGATGAATTTCTGGAAGCAATTAGAGAGAGGGAAGTAAGTTCGCTCCATGACTTACCTGTGGCACAATGATTTTTTCTGTCATTGGTAGAACTGGTATTGCTTTCTTAAATTTTGATTTTTCTCCATGAAACAGCAGTATGCATTTTTCATAATTCTATAGTCACTGGCATAGAAGCAACAGAGCATCTCAAGAAAATGTGTTTTTGTTTAGGAGATATTTATGTAGATTTTATTTGGTGTAGTCTTTACTGAGTAAAGACCACTTTCTTCAGCACAAATCTTTTATGCCTCAGGATTTTATTTTCTCGACCATTGCATGGTGTTTGTCTCATTAGTTGTCATGAAATTGCCTCAAAACAGTAATTCTGAAACTCATGTATACAATAACCTACAACAAGAGAAGCAGAAATGGCCCTTTCTAGTCAATGAGTGTGGAATAAAGGAATGCAAATCAGAATGCAAGACAGTTATGTGCCAACTTTTAAGCCCTCCTTTATCACTTAAATGCTGTGAGTTCTGTTGCTATTTCTACATCTGCTCTTTCTTCCTACTCTGAAATCTTGAAACCGTCAAAGTCATTCATGAGAGTTGAAGTCAGCTTCTTCCAAACTCCTATTAACAAGGATATTTTGCCCTCCTCCCGTGAATCATGAATGTTCTTAAAGACATCTGGAATGGCGAATCCTTTCCAGAAAGTCTTCAGTTTACTTTGCCCAGATCCATCACTATCAGCAGCAGCTATAGACTTGAAATGTGTTTCTTAAATAATAAGTCTTGAAAGTCAAAATTACTCCTTGATCAATGGGCTGCAGAATGGATGTTGTGTTAGTAGGCATTAGAACAAAATTCATTTCATTGTCCATCTCCACTAGAGCTGCTGGGTGACTAGGTGCATTGTCACTGAGAAGTAATATTTTGAGAGGAATCTTTTTTTTTTTTTTTTTTCTGAGCAGTGGGTCTCAACAGTGGGCTTAAAATATTCAGTAAACCATGTTGTAAACAGATGTGTTGTCATCCAGACTTTGTTGCTCCCTTTATAGAGCACAGGCGGAGCCCATTTTGTATCAGTCTTTAGGGCCTTAGTTTTTCATAATAGTAAATAGGCATTGGTTTTAGCTTAAACTCACGAGCTGTGTTAGCCCAACACAAAACCCAACAAGAAAGTTAGTCTGCTCTCCTAAGCTTGGGAGCCAGGTACTGACTTCTGCTCTATAGCTATGAAAGTCCTGGAAGGCAACTTCTTCCAAAAGAAGGCTAGAAGACCGTTTCATCCACATGGGATCTGTCATTGAGTGTGGTCACATCATTGTAACCTCACCAGTTCTGCTGAATCACTTGCCACAGCTTCTAGATCAGCACTTCTTTACCTTATACTTTGATGTCATGCAGACGTCTTCTTTCCTTGAACCTCACCAATCAACCTCCTGTAGTTCCAAATTTTCCTTCTGTAGCCTCATCACTGTTCTCAGTCTTCAGAGAATTAAACAGAGCGGGAGTCTTGCTCTGCATTAGGCTTTGGCTTGGGGGAATGTGTGGTTGGTTTGATCCTCTATCCAGAACATTAAAACTTTCTCCAGATCAGCAATAAAGTTGTGTCACTTTCTTATCATTCATGTGTTTACTGGAGTAGCACTTTCAATTTCCTTCAGGAACTTTTTCTTTGCATTCACAACTTGGCTATGTTTTTTTTTTTTTTTTTCCTTCAAGAGGCTTAGCTTTTGATGTACCTTTCCTTACTAAACTTAATTATTTCTCACTTTTGATTTA